GAGAGAGAGAGAGAGAGAGAGAGAGAGAGATCTTCAGCGTGCAATTTGACCCGCCGATGAAAATTTCATCAATGGACAGGTCCACCTGAAATATTCATTGTGATTTTTCAATTGGCTGGACCGTGTTCGTACCATGCATCTTTAAAGGATTTCGCGTTTGAAAAGGACTTTGATTCCTCGGGATAGAGGGCGATAGCGTGCAGGGCGTTTCGTTCTAGATGGCGTCACTGTACGGTGCAGTGGATTGAATCGAACACGCGTTGATAAAGTCGTTCTCGTTGTAAATCGATTCTTTGAACTTTCCTGCTTGCCGAGAGAAAGCAAAGCGATGCGAAATGAATATTAACTTTCTGCAGGATGGATTGAGAAGACGAATGGACAAGCTGAAAAGTTCTATAGAAGAAGCAAATCTAGCTGTGTCTGCCGAAAGGGAGAAGAACGTCAGCTTGCTTCATCTTATATTCCCTCCAGATATAGCGAAACGTTTATGGCTGGGTAAATATTTTAATTGATCCTCGTAATTGAATCGTTTTCGTTTCTTAAATTGTTTGCTCTTCAATCAGAATTTTATATTCACAAGGATACACACGTCTTTCTTTCTGTTTTCAGGAGAAACAATCGAAGCAAAAACTTATCCCAAAGTGACAATGCTTTTCAGCGATATCGTTGGCTTCACGGAAATTTGTTCCACCGCGACACCAATGATGGTCATCAACATGCTTCAAAATCTTTACGAGCAGTTTGACTCATTTTGTGGCCAGTTAGATGTTTATAAAGTACGCGAATCTCACACGCGTGAATATACTTGTAAGATTTATTATAGAGATAAGATGTCGATTGAAGTCAAAATTTCAGGTGGAAACAATTGGCGATGCCTACTGCGTTGCGTGTGGCCTCCATCGTGACACTTATATTCATGCACAGCAAATAGCTTGGATGGCCCTAAAAATGATACAAGCGTGTTCTCATCATTTAACTCACAAGGGCAAACCGATAAGGGTAATGGAAAACATTTGTTTCCTCAAATTATTTTGCCACTAGATTTCTACTCTGCTACGTTGGCTTAAAAATATTTTCAATAATGAAATTAATATTATGATACTCTCAGAAGTATCATACGTATACACATATATATATATATGTAGTTTTACAATTAATCTTTCAGTGTGATAAATTTCTGTTAATTTAAACAACAAAGGTGAAATTGAATATCACGTAAGTTTATTGAAACGACGAACGTTTCAAGTTATTATACGCGTTATTATTATATTTCAAGGAAGTCATGTTCAATTGTGTATTATTCCTATCTATGAGACTATTAAAACTTTCCCCATTTAAAGTATTCCTTGCTCGCGATGACTGAAAGGACATAATGAGTAAAGCAAATGCAGTTACATGAACTTTTAAAGTAGGTCACCTCAGATCTAATGAAATCACAACTCACCAATAATTTATTATTTTGTAATTTACGTCGGTATAATTGAATGTTGCATTGCTGCAATTTTAATATTCAGTCGCTGTGTTCACAACATTTCATATATAAGTAGAAGTAACTTGAAACGAACTGTTTCTCTCATTTTTCGAATTTGAAGAACGTACTACAAGTACTTGATTTTCAGTAATAGTGTTCTAATTTCTATTCGCTTCGATGATAGAGCGACGCTCACGATGAAAATAATATTTCAGATGCGTATTGGCATTCACACTGGGATGGTACTGGCAGGTGTTGTTGGGAAAAAGATGCCAAGGTATTGTCTTTTCGGGCACAATGTCACCTTAGCTAATAAATTTGAATCTCTGAGCGAACCACTTCGCATCCACGTTAGTCCAACGACATATGTGTAAGTAGACATAGTTTTTACCATGTTTTTACCTGCGACAAATGGCAAAAGTATTATACCACGTATTTGTTTGCATCTCTCATAGGAGACTTCGCATTCGTTGTTCTTTGTCTATGAATTTCAGGTTACTGAAGCACCCCATATCGGGATTTGACCTGGAACCACGACCAAAAGAATTCCTACCGAAGGAGTTCCCAGCTAATATAGAGGGGACGTCTTACTTCCTGAATGGCTACAAACACAAGGACGTCGACGTGACTCTTCCGTTGGATCTACATATTCAGAGCGCGATCAGGGAATACGAGCTCGTGTAGATATTCTGAATAATAAAGAAACCATTCCAACGAATGTACGTCGTTCGTGAATGTCGCTGTACCAAAGCTGCTCTGTCCGTAATTAACAACACTATCTCGATAAACGTCTACTTCTAATGAGTTCACAAACTGACAAACTGTGTAACGAACGCTGATTCTAACCAACCTTAACCAAACGGTCAACTCCTGAGCCGGTAATATTTATACGCAGAGTGTTAGGTTACTATTATACACTTATGACCATATGAGCAAATAAATCTGTATGATAAATCATCTGATTCATTCATTCCTCGAATCGTTCCGTTAATATCCCTGCTCCATCCAGAAATTATTAATTAATCCTCCTTCGTTTGCGATTGGAAATTAACGTTGCTGATGCAAATTATCATCCGACATCGATCCATCGTGAAATTATAAATTTTAATTAATGACGTGAGACACTCGTCTTTTATTTTATTAATTCCATCACTTTACCGTTCGAATAATGAACAGCCTGCGGTCGAACTTTACCAACGAAAATCTTATTTTTCAAGCGTGTATAACGGAGAGGACATGGGTGATACTTACCGCAAGTCGATACAGTGCAATTCTTTTTCCCTCTGTTCCTTAGTTATCCCCCGTATCTTCCCTTTGAAGCTAGGCTGGCTGCTTTTATTTTTGATAAGCCTCGTTCCAGATTCGAATCTTGAAACTACAACGCGGCTCTTTGTTCGTGAAAATAATAGAACAATTTGTATTCTTTACCGAAGCAGCCGGTTATCGTTACAGACGGCTCTCGCTCGCGCTGCGCGTTGTCCGACCAGCTATTTCTTTCTTTCTTCCTTCCTTTCTTTCCTTTCTCCAACCTGAAATGAAACTCCATCGGTGCACTGCTATCCGCGATGTTACTTACCGTGGAACGTTACGCGTTTTCGTTTCGTTTCGTTTCTCTCCTCAGCCACCAGCTATGATTTCCATCGTTTAGCACTGACATTAATGCACTCGAATACCATCTCATCTACACGAAATTTACACGAAAAAGACACATAAACGTGAACGGAGAGCAAAGTATCTGTTCCACGTAATTCTTTTGTGGAAATTATCGAGATTTTTTTCGTTACCTCGAAGAGTAAATAATTTTTCGAAACAACTTTTACTCGACTTCGCGATTCCACATGTAGACGTATACATAAATCGAATTGATCTTTTGATTTCAAACAACAGTTTGCAATCTATGATAAATGAATTGTAAACGAAAGTATTACGACGTTTAAACGTAAAAGTAATATCATTTAATATGTCGAAATTAATGTAACGTGAAAGATCCGAAGAGAACATTTTTCGAGGAAATTTTCTCAATCTCGTTGTCTCAGATTGTCTCATTGGATTTTCTGCAACCGATGCACGAGGAATATTTTTGCAATTCGCTGATGAATTCCACAGTCATCGATTGACAAATAACGGTAAGTAGGTCAGTCAGTGTTCAACACGTGACAAGAGAATGGTCGCTATCACACTTTTATAAATCGATACTCGAGTGAACTTCACTTTCAGCTCTGGCTGAAATCTAGAGATAATGATCGCGCGATCCGACGCGGTAGAAACCACCACTTAGCGGAGTGAAATTTTAGTTTCAGTGCCGGGATTAAACGGACTCCTGTAAGACTAAATCCATTTATCCAAACGCGAACTCCTATTCTGTTATTTGAACGAAAAATCATGTTCGACTGTCGACCGTGCGACGAATTTTGCTGAAACCGGAGTTCAGCGTTCTCTCTTAAATTCGATGTTAACTTTCTTCCTCTTTGATCTCGTGCTTCTCTGCAGAGACACTTGTCAACCGCAGAACGGAAAAGATATTTCCTAAGTTACCAAACAGAGGACTTCAACTTTCCGATGATGTGAAACTTCATATACCGTTATACCGGAACTTGCGAACTTGACTCTCGACTGATCTGCCATGTCGTTTGCACAAGCTATATCGCGTCATATGGCAGATAGCAAAATCAACAAACTCCTATTCCATAATATATTCCGCTGTATGAATTATTTGTTCCCTGCAACAACAGGCCAAGACAAATGGAATTCCGTTGTACTGGTTTCTGATGCCGCGAAAGTAGCCAATCACGCATTGGATTCGGGAAGTTCGGTGTACGCGGTGTTCGTATTGTGCCGGCTCTCATGGTTGTACGAAGCACCGTGCACATGTTACTTTGCCCGGGCGGTCACAAAAGAAATCGGAGGAATAGCGTAACTAAAAAGCCGGCAAGGAAAGACGTACAAAAGAACCGGCAGTGTTCCCGGTTGCCTGGTTGCACGGTCCCACACACACACACACACACGCGCACACATACACAGAGGGTAAGTGAGTAGTGGTGTATCTAGCCGCGTGCCTCGCCTGTACAAACGTACCTTTACTATTTCTTATGCTGCCATTCATCGCAACGAGTCCCGCGGCCGTGCAAAGAGAAAGAAATTAAACATCGGGCCTTCCGGCTACGCCGCATAATCAAACGCCGCTGAAACTAACGAAGCAGCCCGCGGAATGAGACAGACAG